AACCACCACCAGAGCGTGGAGTGGCTGGGTTTGAAGTGGTCCACGCTCCACAGTCAGCTCTGGTTAGAATTACAACCGGTGGTGTAGTTACACGTTCTTGTCTGATGTTTTGACGGATTTTAGAATGCCCACATTGGTTGCTAGCACTAGGCATGTGAATTTGGTAAATAGATAATTTATCAAGTGTTAGTACATCAAACAAAAAGAGAAGTCTAGGAATCTAATGGTCCCACCAGTGTAAGCTTCATGGCTACAAAATTTCCCAAAATAGGAACCCTCAAACGTAAGACTGTCAGTCAGGTGCAAACGCATGCAAGCACTGCTGCGGATGAAGGGAAGGGGGGGAAAGTTCTCGCTGGGTGAGCCGGGGGTGAGGGGAGGAGAGGTCAGGCAATGGTTAGCGCAGCGCGCGAGTCACGAGGAACCGCGCGGAGATACGCCGCCGAGCCTGCTTGTGCTGCGCTCTTGTGCGGATCTAGTCGCGGAGCCGAACAGCCACGACGCGCGGGACAGCGCGCGGGAAACGAGGATCGGTCGGCCGCCACCGCCGCTAGTGCCGCTGCTGCTGCCGCCGCTGACGATGCTGGTGCTGCTGGCGCTAGAGGCGCTGCTAGTCCGCGAAATTCCCGCGCGCGGGCTCCGCTATTCTGCTCCTCCGTCTGCGGAGGCAGATGCCCAAGTTGCGCGAAAGTGGCGCTTCCCCCGCTCCGCTTGAGCGTGCGCATCCGCGTGGCTGGTGCGCGTCTTGGCTCTCCCCCGCCTCTAGATCCCCCGTCGGCTGTTGCTGCTGTCCCCCACTGCGTGCGGCTTCCGAAAGGCTCTGCCGGTTCGCCACGTGGCATGCTGCTGTTGGCCGTAACGAGTCGCTACGGAGAGGGGTTTGTCGCCGTCGCCATTTCGCTGCTGCGCTGCGGCGAGTTTTTCGAGCTGCCCGAGCCACGACTCCGACTCCTGGTGCGAAATCCACACGTCGGCGACGTTCGTTAATATCCGCTCTCGCGTAGCGAGGGAGTTTCGACGAAGCTGCTGCAGAAAGCGCTGCTCGCGCTCGCTCATGGCGGCTTCCGACCCGGCGACATCGCCTCCGCCGCCGCCGCGGCCTCCGCCGCCGTTCTCGAGATGATCGTTATCCAACGGCGGCTCTGGTTCGTCGCGAGCCGCATCGGCGCTCGAATCACGATCGTCCGATAACGAGTCGATATCCGCCTGAGCTCTGCTGGCCACATCGGGCCGCTCCGGGTCGCAGGGCCAGCGCGACCGTCGCAACTGGCGCGACGGGCGCGACTGTCGCAACTGGCGCGGCTGTCGCCACGGTCTCGCGTCTCGGTCGGTTCCGAGCGAGCAGACGCAGGAGAGGCAGGAGAGGACGCGGCACTGTAGGGAAATCCCCCACTCTGTCTCCAGACTCGCGCTTTCGCAGGCGCGGCTGCCGTGTCGAAGTTAATCTCCTCCCACCTGCACCCGGAGTCTAGGTTCGCGCCCGCCCCCGCCGCGCTGCGTAAGGCTGGCGGTCTGCTGCTGATGAGGAGTCTGCGCGGGCTGTTGACGAGCGTCATTGCTGACGCGGCTGTACTATAGCGGAAGCAAACGAGGAATTCTACGGGGGTGTGAAAGTGAAGTATGAGTGGAAACTGGCTGATAGCCAGCTGGAAAGTGGTCCTGTAATTAGGAGATTGCAATCTGCTCTATCTGCTGCTGCTGGTTCTAGGAAATCTTTGAACTGTTTTGCTTTGCTCAACCTGCTGCTGGGTTCTTGCTACTGTGTGTGAGGGAAGCTTGCTAGTGTGAAGCAAAGTGATCATGTGGTGAGAGGATATTTGTCTGAGCAAGAGAACCTTGGTTTATCAACACCCAACCGCGCTCTGAATAATATAAAGCCTCGGGTAACCATTTGTTTTCTCGAACCTGATGTTGCTGTTGCTGCTGCCTAACCGGACAGACGAGAAGGGGCGGGACGGGGCGGGACGAGCCAGATGGTCACGATAACTGCTGTCATGGCGCGTAAAACACCATACCCGACCGTTCTAACATCCGAAGAAACGCGTCCCACCTCAATGAACCGTGGTACAGTGGGCATCTGTTTATCACCAGCAGCACCCTCGATGTAAGGTGCTCGCGCCGTGCGTTGGTCGGCAGAGGGACTCGAATGAAACTGGCGGTGGGAAAAATTGTTTCAAATGAAAAGGACATGAAGACGCGAACGTCGCTTTGCACACGCACCCACTTGGCCTGCCTGCCCAACGCGCTCCCCGCCTGACACGCTGCTCCGTGGCTTTCATTTCGCCCTGAACCTGACGTGACGTGAGCCCAGTCCAGCGTCGGTACAGTTCAGCTGGCTGTACATCAGCAAAAAGTACACTGGGCACGGCCGTTTTAGGACCAGTGGCGTCGTGTTCCACACGACTTTTGACAGTCCCTTTCAAAGGACCTTTCATCACGTGACAGGTCAGCTAATTGCTGCTTGTGTGAATGGCGGTTTCTCGAAGAGCCTTCCAGTGCCCTTCGTTCAAGTGCCAAATGCAATTTGGCAGGGGAGCTGTTCTTGTAGCAAATATTTTTTCCTGGCTTTCACGAGTCCTTTTGTAAGGAGTTTTCTATTCCATACCCAGCGGTACTGCAATCGCGTACGCTCGAACACAACCGAAGCCTCGGGATGGTTCCGGACCTTTCTGACATAATCACCTCGGCTTCTCCAGACCTTCTGGTTCGACCTTCGGGAGTTCTCCGGGCCTCGCTTCGTCACTCGAGACCCTTCAATCCCCTTCCTGAACCTTTCCATCTCATGGTTAGACTAGCTCTGGTGTTCCTATATCTCGGCTTGCCATTCCTTATAAAAAGGAATGCAATGACTGAACACTTCGTTATTCATTTCCGCGCTACTCTGCTTGTTCATTCATAACACCTGGTTATCAGAGCCACTTTCCTCGCTCACCCGTTTTTCGTGAGTTGATTTTTTTTTTGGGGGGGGGGGGGTAAAGTCCCTCACGAAAGCTGCAAAGCGGTTGCTCGCGAATTAGACAGATTAATTCGCCCAACTACGATAGCGTTTGCGCTTACCTGAGTACAGGCACATTACGGATTTCCCCTTGCCCCGGCGGAGCATTCGCCAAATGGACCAAGCTCAGTTCAACGAGCTTCGGGAACAGTTCAACGCTATGAACATACGCATGGCTACAGTGCTGGAGGACAACGAGCGACTTCGTGCAGAAGTTGCCGAGTTACGCCAGGCGCGAGAGGATTCGCGTCAGAAAACTGCCGCCCAAGAGGAAGTCGTCAGCACCGGACGTGTCGAAACCGTTTTAGACGAAATCGCACTTGAGGTGTCCAGGAGCGTAAGGACAGTGAAGCCGCCGCAGTAGCTGACGTGGCAGCACGAGCAGCAGCCGAAACGCAGCAGCAGCACCAGCGACAGCAGCAGCCGCTCGGTCAGAAGGCGCCGCACCGACGTTTATGCTGATCGTGACGACAGCGACGATCGAACCGACAATGCCCCCGTTCAACCCCACAAATAAGAATACTACTGTTACGGGCTGGTTATTTTCGGCGGAACTTTATTTTAATGCCGCTGGGATCACGGTTGACGATTAAAAAAATCGACTGGCTGTATCTTTACTACGGGGACCTGCGCTAGATTAGCGGCAATACACACTACCGGTGTCACATGATCGAATGACTCGAGGAAAGATTGCACTATCGATCAGTACAAGGTGCTTTTATACTTCCAGAGTACATCAGGTAACCAGGTTTATCTTATCCTAAGGGAATAGACCCTTCTAGAAGATAGAATCACCCTGCGTATAGCCACGCGATGCTATTGGCTTTAAGGGATTACGGCAGGATTACGCCAGATAGCGCACCAGTACATTCCAAGCCTGGTCGGTGATATAATTAGAATAGCAGGATAAACCAAAGGTTTAGTGGAAAATGGAGAATAGGAAATCAAATGAGATGGGATAAAAAGAGAAATGAAAGAGGAAGGAAATAAGGAAAGGGACAAGTAGTGTAACGGGGTCGTACTCTCACAACAGGAGGGGGAGTTTTCGGCAGGCGTCACACAGGGGTTTTTCAGAAACTTTGGGTCTGCTGCCTAGTGGTCAACCGCGATTTTTTGATCGACCAAGATTCGCACGTGGAAGGCGTGGGGTACAGCTCTGCGTGAACGGTTCGAGCCAATATCAGCCTCGGACAACGCACGCACGAAGCTGGACAATTGGCGCCAGTGGAGTTCTGTCCAGGATTACGCGTCGGTCTTCATGGCGTTATGCGATCAAATCACCGACATGCATGGCCCGAGAAGAAAGCTTGATTCATTTCGGGTTTGAAGCAGGACATAAAATGCGAGGTCCAACTGCGACTTCCGGCGACGTTTCACGAAGTAGTCCGGATCGCAGACACTTTCGACGCACATCGGACGTATGCGAGAGTGGGTTCCCGGGAAGGAAATCGTTTTCGTGGCCAGGATCCACGGCCCACGATTCACGGCGTAGTGGCGAGGGAGCACATGGAAGATTTTCGCAAGGGACAATGCTTCAACTGCCTCCAGCCGGATCACCAATCTCACGATTGCCCCCGAAGGAAGCAGATTAAAAAGAACGATGAAGGCAGGTCGGGAAACGCCAAGCGTCAGTAGCGGTCGGGCCCCCTACTGACCCTGCTTCATCGCCCGAAAAACACCATCCCACCGGGTAGTAGTTCCGATACACGCTATCAATCGCTCCCAGCTGAGTAAGGGGGATGACCCAATGGACCACCCTGTATTGGCGGAGGGACGACTCAAAGGAAAAAAAACAAAAATATTCATCGATGGAAGTGCGAGCCACAGCCTGATAAATCGAGAGACAACACGAAGACTACACCTGATGCTGGAGAGGTGTCTGCCCGAAATCGACGCGCGATTGGTGGATGACACCCCCTGGCGATACGCGACAAAGTACCCGTCGTTCGAATGAAGTGTGGCGAAGATTTCGGCTTCAGCGCGCCGATGTTGGCGACAACACTCGACGGCTACGATGTACTATTGGGACGCGATTGGCTGCGAAGATTCAATCCGCAGATCGATTGGACAACAGGCGAGTGCACAGTGAAGTGCGAGAAAGGCTGGCGAAAATTACCCACGTGGCCGGAAGCAGAGACAACATCGACACGAGTCAACGCGGTGTGCCTCAAGCGAGCGGTCAAGAATGGAGCGACTTTATACGTCGCCCATCTAACCGAACCGACGGAGCAGAACGAGGCGACCGACATCAATACACTCTGCGCTTCGGTCCCGGATGACTTGGCAAAAATCATTCGGGAATATCCTGAGATTTTCCCGGACGACTTGCCAAGTGGACTGCCACCCAAACAACCCCAGGACCACAAAATCGAGCTGGAGCCCGGCGCGCAGCCCACTGTACACACACAATGGCGCCTGACTCAACCGGAGCTACAGGAACCACGAAACCAGCTGGACTACCTAATGGCGAAAGGGTTCATTCGGCCGAGCACGTCACCGTTCGCAGCACCGATCCTGTTCACCAAAAAATGATGGCGGACTTCGTATGTGTACGGACTATCGTGCCCTTAATCGAGTAACGAAAAAATTGCGCTACCCAATCCCACGCACGGACGAACTGATCGACAACCTTCGCGGAGCTTGCCTATTTTTCGAAGATCGACCTTCGCGGCGGTTACCATCAAATTCGGGTGTTCGCTGACAATTGCCACAAGACCGCGTTTTCGTATTCGCTACGGGGAGTTACGAATACACGGTGATGCCGTTTGGATTAACGAACGCCCCCTCAAACGTTCCAACTCACCCATGAACTGTGGTGTTCCGCGATCTACTCGACAAATGCGCGATAATTTACCTGGATGGATCCTGATCTACAGCAAGACCCAGGCGCAACAATTAAAGGACCTCGAAGCGGTTTTTCAGCGGCTGCAGCAGTATCGTCTCATCACCAAGGGCCTCCAAGGTGCGAGTTTTTTAAAACAGGAACTGGAGTTCCTGGGGCACGTGATCTCCACGGAGGGAATTCAAATAAACTCGCAAAAATCTCCTGGCTATTCAGGAGTGGAAATCGCCAACAAATCTGCAGCAGCTGCAATAATTTTTGGGCTTTGTGAATTACGTGCGGTGGTTTATACCCAACATGGCAGGGTTAACTGGACCTCTAGCCGACCTACTTCAGAAGGGGAATCTTTATGAGTGGGGGAGAAGCAGCAAGCTGCGTTCGAGGCATTAAAAAATCTTTTAATGTCGCCACCGGTACTTCGCATCGCTGACCCAGAACGACCCTTCGAAGTCATCACCGACGCAAGTGACATTGCCATCGGAGCGGTGCTCATGCAAGATTTCGGCAATGGTCTTCAACCAATCGCGTACGAGTCTCGCAAAAATGCAATCTGCCGAGAGCAACTACCCGGTACACGTCAAGGAGATGCTGGCGATTGTCCACGCATTCAAAATCTGGAGGTGCTACCTGACTGGAGCAGACGTGACGGTGGGAACCGATCATAAATCTCTACAGTACCTGAGAGCGCAGCCGAATCTCAACCCGCAGCAGATATGCTGGCTGGACTATCCGGAGTCCAACTTCACGTACAAGATCACGTATGAAAAGGGCGCCAACAATATTGCCGACGCCCTTTCCACGCCATCTGCCCAGCTCGCAGCAGTACTAGTCGCCCAGAGCAACCCGCTACTAAGTGGACTATTTACCCACGGATATTCAACTAACCCCTTCTTCGTAAATGACAGCCATCTCCCAATCACTACACGGAAAGGTGCCTATTACGTACGAAGCGGGGACTGATCGAATTTGGGTCCCAAGTTATCGTCTACTTCGCGAAATACTAATTCAAGAAGTCCACGATTCGAATTAATCGGGACATTTCGTGGTTGATAAAACTCTGAAGGCGTTGCAGCAGTTTTATTACTATCCAGATATGGGGATGGACGTGCAGCGTTACGTGGCTGCGGATCCAATCTGCCAGCGAATGAAGTCATTCCACCAGCGACCTACAGGGCTGTTTCAGCCCCTCGTGCCACCTCAACGCCCGTGGCAACACGTAACGATGGATTTTGTTACGGGACTACCGGCCGGACCCAACAGAAATGACGCCGTTTTGGTTGTCGTCGACCGATAGACGAAAATGGCGCATTTCGCATCATGTCGTACAACCATCACAGCCAAAGAAACCGCGCGCCTGTTCATCTCGACCGTCGTTCGCCTACACGAGATACCAGCAGCAATCATTAGTGATCGAGATCCGAAGTTCACGTCAAAATTCTGGCAGGATACGTGGGCTCGGTACGGCACGCGTCTGCAGTTCTCATCCGCTTATCATCCTTAAATGGACGGTCAGACGGAAAGGACAAACCAAAGGATGGAGCAGCTGATTCTGACAAATTGCCCCGACCGGAAAAAATGGGAGGACATGCTGCCCATGTTGGAATTCTCCTACAACAACGCGCCCTCATCTACGCCTAATCACTCCCCGTTTAATCTCAATTACGGGATGGACCCCACCGTACCCGTCTCCACCAACATTGAGAGTCAAGTACCACGATCGCAGCAGTTCGTCGACGAATTAGAGATTGCCCGACACAAAGCTGTCGAACTTATTCGCAAGGCAAACGCTACTGCCCGACGGTATGCAGATTTACATCGACGGGATATTACAATGGTCGCCGTGCAACTGGTCCTTTTGGACACCAAGAATTTACGACTGCCACTATCGACGAAATTACGACCGCGTTTCTGTGGCCCATTCAAGATCATGAAGATGGTGACGCCGGTGACCGCCCAGTTACACCTACCTGATGACTGGTGTATTCACAACAAGTTCCACGTGAGCGTGTTGCGACACTTTGTTCCTGACATGTCGGACATCGCCCGACAGCGATTGGTCCCAGATTTACGGCCACCAGCCGAGACGACCATCGAGCCTTCGAAGATTTTGAGCCATTGGATTCGTATCGACGGCCAAGGACGACACGTTGACTTTCTGATACGATGGACCAATCATACCAGTGAGGACGACACGTGGCTAAGGACCTTTATGACAGAATCATCTCAGCTTCTCCAGACCTTCTGGTTCGACCTTCGGGAGTTCTCCGGGCCTCGCTTTGTCACTCGAGACCCTTCGATCCCCTTCCTGAACCTTTCCATCTCATGGTTAGACTAGCTCTGGTGTTCCTATATCTTGGCTTGCCATTCCTTGTATCAGGAATGCAGTGACTGAACACTTCGTTATTCATTTCCGCGCTACTCTGCTTGTTCATTCATAACACTTATGAAGTATAGAATAGAGTAACGCCTACACTTCAAGGATAGTAATGCCCTGGTTTCCCTGGTACCGTTCTTGACCATGTTAGTTCGTCCTTGACAACGTAGTGCCTTAGTCATGAAAATGACGGGCCTCAACTCAAGACAAGGAGGCTCGAGAAAATGTAGGAAGAGTATATCCGCGCCCAGTATTACGGCGAGCCGCGCTCATTATTAGGACAGTCATTGAAACGATACCCTTGTTGCCCGAGTCAATCACTCGAGGTTTTTGGGCGGCAGGGACTGAAAACGCCACTTTCATTTTGCAAACCTCGCCACAGGCATATGGGTGTTAAATTATATATGCTAGTATATAATTGTAGGCTTGGTAGTCTTACTGAACTTTACTGTAAAGGGTACAACACCCCTCTTTGTATCCCTCTCTCTTCTATTCTGACCAGGGCTTATGTTAGGTTTTTGGGACAGCCCGGATGATTTTGGGCACCCCTCAGAATCTGCCCTGGAAAACCTGGAAAACCAGGGTCAAAAGTGGTGGCTCTCTGATTTTCCAGGGCTCTTGTAAAAACTGCTCGGAAAAATCAGGGCTGTATACAAAATCACTCTGTTTCCCTGCACAATTAATTGGTACAAGAAAAATAGTATGTATTCTTAGCACGCATAGGATAGCAAGAAAGTACTATCAGTGAAATTATCCACGCACAAAGTCTGCATAAAAAACCACACCCAGTTCAAATATCAGGCCACCTTAGCATCCCCAGGCAGCCGACATGGGCGCCTGGGCCTCATCTCATTCCAAATCCTAAAGACATCCATCCAATCCACCTCGAAGTCCAACATCTTTACAGCCATCAGCTCGGCAAGCTTGACATCGGACAGGCCTGTCCGATCCCAATTCTTAATGACATTCTGGCGAGAGAAACCTCTTTCGCACTCGACAGTGCTTAGAGGAAGCACTGGCACTGCACGCCAGAGGTTCACGAGATTTGGGTAGTTCGCAATCCAGGTCTTCGAACTGAGAATGTTGTTCAGGCTTTGGTAGAAACCTTCCTCATTGTGATGCCTTTCGAGCGTCGAAGTGAGCATGTCAATCTCACCTTCGCAAAAAACTCTGCTCACACCTGAAGTGGGGGTGATTCGTGGTGATCACAAGAGTATGGGTTCATGGATACGAGGAGGCAGAAGCACATAGCAGCCAGAGGATGATTGAAAGGGGATCACAAAAATAGAGCAACATGGATACATGGCAGAAAAAGCACATAGCAACAGGGGGGTGGATGGTGGGGATCACGGAAGTATAGCAACATGCATACACGGCAGCAGAAGCACATAGCTGCTGGGGGATGGTTGGTGGGGGTCACAAAAGTATAGCAACATGCATACAGGGCAGCAGAAGCACATAGCAGCAGGGGGGTGGTTGGTGGGGATCACAAAAGTAGCATACAGGGCAACAAAAGCACATAGTAGTAGGGGGATGGTTGGTGGGGATCACAAAAGTATAGCAACATGCATACAGGGCAGCAAAAGCACATAGCAAGAGGGGGATGGATGGTGGGGATCACGGAAGTATAGCAACATGCATACACGGCAGCAGAAGCACATAGCTGCTGGGGGATGGTTGGAGGGGGTCACAAAAGTATAGCAACATGCATACAGGGCAGCAGAAGCACATACCAGCAGGGGGGATGGTTGGTGGGGATCACAAAAGTAGCATACAGGGCAACAAAAGCACATAGCACCAGGGGGATGGTTGGTGGGGATCACAAAAGAATAGCAACATGCATACAGGGAAGCAAAAGCATATATCAGCAGGGGGGTGGTTGGTGGGGATCAACAAATATAGCAACATGCATACAGGGCAGCAGAAGCACATAGCAGCAGGGTGTGCAGCTACCATGATGACAATATCGTATAAGCATATAGCATACCTGGCAGTCGGTTATCGAAAGGCCAAGTAGCTGGTCCAGCCAGCCGGACCAAGCCTTGTCCCGAGTTCCAAGTTCCTTCACAGGATAGGACTTTGGCCGGTACAGCTTGGTTCCCTCAAGCTTCTCTAGATCACCTAGACGCCTCCCAAGAGAGCTCTTCAAGGCTACAGCTAACTCCTTCGCCAGTGCGTAGCAGGACTCGAGGTCGTTCGCATACTTCCCTCCGATGTCATCCCCGTGGAGATCGACAACGGTGGAGAAAGGGTTCCCATCTCCATCCACCCCTTCGACCACCATCGTCCTTGAATTGGGGCTGCCATGCTCCTCCAGGAAAGCAGATATCCTTCCCTTGTATCCTCCCCCAAATCCCCGAGTGACAAATCTAGCGTGTCTCGAGGGCCATGCAGACTTCATCCACCGAAGCTGCAACACCCGTGATATCCATCTGTATGGGGCAGCCATAAACAGTCACAGCCACATATGCAGTTAAGCAGCAATACTTGCCATATGGAAGAACATTGAGCGAGGTAAGATGGATGAACAGGCCAACCTGTGTGTTCAGAGTTTGACGCACCTGGCGCACCTGGAATTTGAGGTTCAAGCCATCCAGCAACTGCAGAATGTCACATAGCAAGAAGAGCATAAATCGAAACTTGAAGCTGCTGGCCAGCTTGTACAGCTTATCGTTATCTGTCTTCCACATGACTAGAAGAACAGGCAGCACGTCGCAAAACCTAGTTACTGCTTCTCCACGGGACAACCATCGAATTGCTATGATGCTAAGAATCTCCAGATGCGTTGCCCGAATAGCCAGCTGAAGCTCGAGAAACTTTTGGCGCGAGACGTTCGTCCTAGGGCGGCTATAGCTTCCGTGCGAAACTACAGCTCCCAGGCAACGAAATGTCAAATGCGCTCACAGCAAGCCAACCTTGCTCGTGACTGATGCCGACGTCCTACCGCTAGCTCGTAGCAAGGGCTCCTCGCCTACGGCTACAAAACGTTGTTGCACTGAGCGCTCAGACTCCGATGCGCCAACTCGTCGAT